TTTTTTTTTTAAATTAGGATAGCGGATCGGGTTGAGATTTTGGCAGGTCGTAAATCGTAATAACTAATAGGAAATTAGAAATTGACAAAAACACCAACAAAATGACAAAATTATTGAATTTACAAAATTGAAACTTTGGATAAATTTTCAAAAAAAATTCAATTTTTTATTTTATACATTTTTTCGCCGGTCCGGTTTAGTCTTAAAACGTAATTAAAACTCTCAAACCTAAACCAAACGGTTTTTGACCGGTTTGGTTTGGTTCAAAACCATTTCGTTGACGGGTCTACGTGGCACCAAACCGTCGATTTCGAAATTGCAGTTTCGGTTCGATTTTCCGATTTGATGATTTTTGCTTACAGCTCTAATTTAAAGAGGTGCATTTACATAGAAAACAAGTTGAAGATGTGGTTTTGTCTCGTTGGACAATAGAACAATAAAAGTTTCTAACCTTTATTTTTTTCATCATTATTGAAGAATATCTTATTTAAGCGATGCTACTCACTCTGTTGCAAAAGGAGGCCGCTTTCTTCCCACCAAAAAATGTATGTTCCACCATCATGGCCCAGCAAGCAGGGGAATTCTATTATGAGAATGTGTTTTGTTCCAGCAACAACATTATATGATTCAAAACGTCTTGTTCCATTTGGCGCGCCTCCACCACTAGTATAGTGGAGGTGTTATTTATATTGCAATAATGAATAAATGTCCGAAATGAGCAGAATCTCATGCAGCAATTTATCGAAATCACTTAAGACTTGGATTATCTCATTACCACACGCACATTGTGAATTAGAGTTATTGACTACTTCGGAAGAAAGTTTGTGGATTTTTGAAAACGTCATGGAGACAAAGTAATGGGTCGTCATAATTATCTCATAAATCAATTTCTCATTATTCGGAGAATTTCCAATTTCACATATATGTTGCCTATCAAAGAATATTTTTGTGAATACTATTTAATATTAAAGATCAAGTATTTTTCTCTTTATTTTTAAGAAAAAGCCTAATTATTCGTGATAATGGAGTGGTGAAGATTTATGATATGTCTCTTTTCAAGCGCATGGCTCTTTCACCAATGGTCCATCCTTCAACTGAATCAATAACTAAAACATTTGGTAAGAAACAACGGTCACTGAATCTACGAAGATAATTTTGTGCTCCTAGATATCAACACATAATCGATCAACTACACATAACGACAATGTAGTATATAATATATAAACCCCACGTAGATAATTTCTTATGCATCCAAGAACACCAATAAAGTGTTCTATAAACTTATGCATGACATATCATATGTACTCTCAATTCTCGGTGATATGAATATGCACGACACTTCACATAATATTAAACTCTGTAGATAATTTCTTATGCATCCAAGCACACCAATAAAGTGTTCTATAAACTTATGCATGACATATCATATGTACTCTCGATTCTCGGTGATATGAATATGCACAACACTTCACATAATATTAAACTCATGGTCACACACGATATTCTACACGCTACAAGTAATTAATACGCCATACTTGTAAAAATTCTTCCCCATACTCAGAAAGTTGTGACAGATTTACTATTTTTCACAATTTTTAATGTGATTTACCATTCAAAAAGAGGTTTTTATTTATTACTATAAATATTAGGCTCTTCTATACAACTCTACCAAAAAGGTTTGGACATCCCCTACATGTTTCCTATAAATATTAGGCTCTTCTATACAATTTTTGCAACAATTACATATGAGAAAATAGATTACTAGAATTATAGGATCTATTATAATTTTCTCTCTTCTCCATTATTCTTGATGCAATAAAATTTATTAATTCTTCTGTCATATTCTTGTCTTTTTTTATTCTTTTGGTTGATCATATACTTCATTATTATTTGTCATATAATTTCAATATCTCAATTCGGTGATTGACGTCACAACAAGTGGTATTAATCATAACAAGTGGTATCAGAGCCAAGGTTCAGCAGTTCCGCAAGAGCTCATGATTTGATTTGTTCGAAGTTTTTTTTTTTCGTGATAACTTCCATGAAGTATGACATTCCGCTTTTAGATCGAAACACTAGATTTTCGCTATGGCAGGTTAAGATGCATGCAGTGCTCGCACAGCTTGATTTGGATGATGCGTTATTGGGTATTAACAGGATGCCAGCAACTTTGATAGCGGAAGAGAAATTACGAAAGGATAAAAATGTAGTTTCTCACATTCATCTTCATCTATCAAATTCCATTCTTCAGGACGTTTTAAAGGAGAGATCAGTAGCTGCTTTGTGGTTGAAGTTGGAGCAATTATGCATGACCATGAGTCTTACAAGCAAATTGCATCTCAAACAGCTGTTATACTCTCATCGCATGGCAGAAGGAAGATCATTGAAAGATCACCTGACTGTATTTAAGGAGATCGTCGCTAATTTAGAAACATTGGAAGTTACGTATGATGAAGAAGATTTGGCCTTGATCCTATTGTGTTCGTTGTCTGTTTTTCTTTCTTCATTTAGAGACACAATTTTATATAGTCGTAATACTCTCACTATTGAGGAGGTTTGTGATGCTTTGTTTCCAAAAGAGAAGATGAAGCATTTGGTTTTTGAGATTAGAGATAAAGAAGGTCTGGTTACTCATGGCGGTTCTGGAAGGGGCAGATCGGAGTCTAAATTCAGTAATCAAATTTGTAACTACTGTAAGAAAGAAGGGCACTTGAAGAAGGATTGCTACAAGTTGCAGAA